CAGTTTCTTACGGGCAACTCCCCCAACCAAAAATAGCGCCGACACTGATCACATTACCTCATTCAAGTTGACTATGTGTCTGTTCAATATCAACAATGCACTGAAGTGCTGACTCTTCTTCACCACACCAAGAGACTCGACTCTTAGGTTGTTTAACAAACTACCGACAGGGGTGATCACATCATTCTTAGAACATAACGAACTATCGACAGGGGTGAATTATGTGCAACCACCGTGATATCACACTGTTACTCACATCCACCCATCTCATTTACCGACATAGAGTTACCACTGAAGGGCAATCCTTATACAATGTTGTCATTGTCACCGCTCTAATCAAAAACTACCATATTTGAAGCATACTAATTGTCATGGGGAGCTCAAAGAATATTATCTTCAAATAAGTTTTTTACAAGAAGGGTTTGAGCAAATCTTATATTTTTTCCCTGCCTAAGACATTCTATTTCTAAAGAAATGAAAGAAGCTTTGGGAACCCTCATCCTTCCAGTCACTTAGAGAGAAGGTGAGAAGTTATTTATATACATGGTAGATTTTGTTGTGGTTGTTGTGGTTGATTTTCTATTTGTCATCTTCGGTCGCCCATTGTTCAAATCCTTTTGTGAGGATTATCTCTACTTATGTTGCCCTCACTTTTGTGAGGATTCACTCAACTTGTGGTTGATTTTCTATTCAGCTACCATCTCAGTTTTGTGAGGATTCAGTCTATTCAGTCTACTTATGCTAGACTAGTGTTGACCTCACATTTGTGAGTATTCACTCTACTTACCTCACCAATGGTCATAAACTAGGATTGTACATTTTGGGACCCTTCAGAAAAAACTTCAAGCCCTCAACCTATTGGTTGACTGAAGCAGAGTTCTGACCAGGTATGGAAACCCAAATTGACCTTTACGGGTAAGACATGCCCTAGGTCACTTAAATCCATAAAAAAACCTAGGAATCTCCTCATAGACCCTAGGAACTTGCTTGTTAGCCTCAAGGGTAACCACCAACCGCTAAATCCTTTTGGGGAGGGTGGGGGGTGTGGGGGGATCTATCAACATTGATCCCTGGTTTCACTAGTGGCCTCGAAACCCTAAAAATCAGATCAAAATCCCAGTGGCCCTTTTTGAATCCAAAATTTTGTGGCACCCCAGACTGGTCAAATCACTGACGACAAACCCTACTTTGGGCCAAGAACAGACAAAATTAACGATCATACCCCAATTGGATGACACCTGACCATGTGGCCTACCTAACCACCATATGGTCAACACATGACTATATGGTTACCCCAGGACTATATGGTCAACACATTGACCATATGATTAACACGTTGATCATAGGGCAATATCCAAATAAGTCCACATGGTCATTCCTATGGCCACATAAATAACCACAACTATGGGATTATTTTCTTGTGCATCTCACTTAATCAATTTATTAATTAATTAATTGAAGAGAAATGTCATGAAGGGCTTAGCCTAAGCCCAGGCTCATCCATGGCCCATCCTTATTGGGTCACCCATGACTCGATAGCACCCACCATAACATGAGAAACCTATTGGAAACCCTACAAGTCCCAAATTTTTTTTTCATTTTTTTTGCTTAGATTTACGTACATGCCACCCAGTCCTTTGTATTTACAAATGTAACATTTAAACTTCAATTTTTATATTTATAGCACTTTACCTCTACATGAAAAAGGTGAATTTCACATTTGCTTTTAACTTAAATAGTGTTAATTTTGATGTCATATGAAAGAGTTTGATGTTAAAAATGCAAAAAATAAAATTCATACGTTCAATACATACATTTATAGGAATTTGGTGGTATTATGTAAATGCCCAAATTTTTTCTTTGTATCACAACAAGAAAAATAGTTATAGCCACTACAATTCCACTGGCAGTCTGAACATATAGAAAGTACGAGGTTTCAATTTCTAAGAAATTAATAATACTTGGAAAGCTATTTATGCATAATCATTATTGCTATAGGTTATTGGACAAAATATTTAATCATGTAAATATAAAAAATTAAAAATTTACAAATATCCCATCCATCCGTAGCTTGGAACTGAAAGGCAAGCCACGTTTTCTGAACATATGGATGGAATATTGGATGGTCCACTACTTTATTAAAAACCATTATGTTTTGCATCAATTGCATGTGGAAATAGTTTCTACATTCCCTAAAAATTGGTTCTTTCTTGCTCTACAAACACAGTTCTTTTAAACAAAAATTGAACAAATAATCCATTATCTACAATAAAAATGAATAATTTTTTATCTGCTTTTACAAACAGATGCAATAAATAGAAAATCACAGCCCAACGAGAGCCTTACAAATTGAAGAAAGGTAGATGTATCGATCATAAAAAAAGTTCCTTAGAACACATTTCTTTTCACAGACACGAACAGTTGGGAAACAGGACCTGTAAAATAACCTAATGAACTATTTATATTGATTTTTGTTGTCTATATTTCTTCCAGAATCCTCTGTGGCAATCCCATCTATTGGATCCAAATCTTCAATCCCAACTGTCACGGCTGTGTTGTTCCAATTGTTATAACCATCAATGGTCAAGTTCTTGATTCTGGCAAGGATGGAATCATCTCTACTCATCATCTCAATGTCTACAACAAAACAAAAGAAAAAGAAAATCAAATGTTTCCAGGATTATTAATTCAATACTTAAACGGCAAAGTAGCTTGCTCTGAAATTTCTTAAACTCTTAATAATGAAATCAATCAAACGCACATAGCTTCTTGATTCAGGAATTACATAAATGTTTCATTTGATTCTTTTGATTCAGGAATTACATAAATGTTTCATTTGATTCTTTTGATTCAGGAATTACATAAATGTTTCATTTGATTCTTTTGATTCAGGAATTACATAAATGTTTCATTTGATTCTTCTTCTTTTTCAGTATTATTTTTTTTTATTTGTTTATTGTTTTTCTATCAAGATGAATATGATTCAAAACCCCTTCGATCAATACTGAATACATACTCATCAACTCGGAGAAACAATCTCAACTAATGAATCCTCAAAACAAGGATCGAAAGAGATTTTGAAATCCTGATTTCTTGATTGTTAAAAGCCAAAGAGTCATAAAAAAAGAGAAAAAACGTACTAGGGTTGGAGAACATCCAAAGAACCGTGGCGCAGATGATGATAACGACAGGGATGAGGTGCACCATGTTCTCCGCGAACCTCAAATGCGCCGCCTCCTTCTTCGCAATCTCCATCTGGGGACCGTACATCGGAAGATGATCAAGCCCCGCAGCCGATCTCAGACATGCAACTTGCCCGGCGCTCATGTAATACTCATCAGAGACCCTCGTCGTGCTTGTCGTTCGATACATCACTTTTAAATCTTAGAAAGAAAATTCGGATGGAAGGAGAGAAACAAAGAGAGGCGAGAGCTAGTTGAAGGGTTAAAGGGGGCGAAGAAGAAAAAAATCAATGACTAAATATATCACGTTCGGCATTCGCACTCCAGAATTGATCGCTGGTCGCGTTCTTCATTTTTGTTATGCAACTGTAAAGGAAATGCCTCGTCCGTTGAAAGCAAGCCAGCCACGTGTTCGACGAAATGTCTCACATGGATGATATAGCGATTTCGGACGAAAGTCGACCTGATTCAAAGGAGAAGGACCGTCGTTTTCTAAATATCAGCCTGAATAACGGGACAAAAAATTGGTTGATGAAAAATGTCTATGAAAAAAAGAGAAAAAAAATTGTATTTAATCCTCTGTGTGCACACAATTATAGCAATTATAATTTTATAGAATTTTTTATATATATTAATGAGCCCACTTGTCAAAATGGCTGAACTGTGCTCGCATGTCGAAGTGATTGAACCCATCTCTTTCACCCATCAGAGATAACATAGCCTGCCTAGAGAAATACAGATGATCATCATTGCCAGCAAGAACACAGATCATCCATATTTAAATGCTTTGTTCGACTTTCACATCACGGTGTTTTTCATCAAGACACGATGAATTGAAGTTGTACAATAGTAAATTTATTTTTTTACTTTTTACTCTTTGTATAAAATAAAATTCAAGCTAAGAAAGAGGGCAGCTCATTTTCTACTCTTTTTATCTCTTTGTCTAATTAAACTTTGTAGCCTGAAAAAACTCTGACTAGCCTGATATTTCGGCTTATCAGAGGCTCGAACTCAATAGATAATCTCATGTATCTCTTACAGGCCTTACACCCATCTCTCTCTTCTATCTTTCCTCTACAAAAGCAAGATCTTCACTCGATTGTATGTACTCACAAATGATATGGGACTTACTTCCTACAAGGATTCAACATTCCAAAATGTACGGTGAGCATTAAGTTCATACTCGGATATTAGCATAAATTTTATTTAGATAAGTAGAGAGGAAGAAGGACGATGGATTACACTAGATGATTCACTATATAATAGATTAACTAATTAAGGGATGAAATTTTCAAAGCCGTGCATGATGCGATAGAAGCTTCAAGATCTTGTTCTTTAATTGAGCCCAGAACGTACACTAGATCGCCAAAATCTATGGCTCGCTGACAAGATCCACCACGACAAGAGCACCCTATGCAGAACTTGCTGAGAGTTGGACTAAGAAGGGCTCTTAGCCGATGCTTGGATAATGAGTAGAAAGGAATGCTTCTGGCTATCTTAAAGAAGGAGAGCTTGTTGCAGTGCCGACTGGAGAAGGAAGAAAAAAAGAAGGAGAAGATTTACTCATGAACATTTAGATGAAGAAGCCATGAGAAAAATATAAGAATGGAGATTGATAGAAAACACATTTTTAAGAAAATAATCAAAAGCCAAGACATCTAGGAAGTTTACGATTTCTCCCTAGAATTTTACAAGGAAAGATCTGATCCTACCAACCACCTAGCTTCATTCGAGTAAGCAATATGCTTACTCAGATTAAATGATACGTTAAAGTGTCATTTATTCTTTATGATGACATAATCAGCTTTATGTTGGTTCAATCACTTGCTAGTATGGGTGATCACTTCTTTCAAAGAGTTCAAATATCTGTTCCTAGCTCAATTCTCTAGCGTGCAAAGCTACAAAAAAAAAAACTGTCAAGCTCTTATGAAGATCCGAAAAGCTCCTAAAAAAATGCACTCGAAGCTTCATTAATCGCTTCCAATCAAAGTTAATGGAAGTACATGATCCGGAGCCTATCATCGCCTTTGTTGCTCTAGCTCAAGTCCTCTGTGAGGGATCATTTTGGTAAATTCTTAGCTTACATAAGCCAAAAAATTTTGCTCCTCTCTTGGAGCTCACAAATTTTCACATATGTACGAAAGAGCGCAACTCTCACTTCGGTTCCTTCCGATCGTGGGAACTTAGGGAGAAGTTCTAAAACTAGCCTCATAATGGCTGCCAGAATGCAAAGAGTTATTTCGGGAAGCAAAAGCCCTGAAATTTTCTTGACCAATTTTTTTTCATTACGAAAGAAGCAACAGTAATGAAAGGATGGTCAGAAGAAGGCATGAAAGAGGCGAAGAGTTACATAGACATCCTTTTACTGAAGTCACACCGCTTAAGTTTTTTTATGGTCAAAATCGTGGAGGCCATCGAAAAAAAATTTCATTAAGAAGCCTTTGTCCATGAAGGCGAGGACTCACTCTAGTGATCCCAATTGATACCACACATATCATCGAGATCATAACAAATACAGTGAAGAATGTCAATGTCCTCATAACCTGATCAAAGAATTGATCAAGGTAAGGAAACTAAAATAATTTGTAGTCCCTGAGCTCGCACCCAACGGCAAAGTAAAGTGCCTACTGAAGATACTAGCAAAGAACTTGCTCCTGTAAGGCTGGTTCACGTTACAGGCATTTTACTAGCTATCTTTCAGGGGGATAAGATGGACCTCAGACCTCACAAATGTTTAATTTAAAAATTATATGGGCAGGAGAAGTTTATCCAACCACTTTAGCCAACCACATTACACTAATCCAACCACCTCTCATTTTTTCATAAGGTAATCTACTAATTGGGAGAATTCCTTTCCATGATGTCATTGTAGTCACTGCCATCATTGAGGCTTACCAAATTTGAGGCATCCTAATTAACACCAAAAGCTTTATTAAAGTCTTGTTCAAAGGAAATTTTGAGAAAATGAGCATAACGGCTGACCAGCTTGTCCCTACCTCCAAGTTACTCTTCGGATTCTCCGAATAGAAAAAGGAAACCTGTGGAGTGAAAGCCCTCATAGTAATGTGGGGGGAAGGGGGAAGAAAAACGTCAATATAGAAGACATTAAATGTCACTATCGTTGTTGCTGGCTAAATGTACAATGCCTTCTTCGAAAAAATAATGTTGAATGCTTTCAAGGTTATTGTGTCCACTTACCATGTCTTCGCCAAATTCCCGATAAGAGGCCAAATCAACACAATTTGGGGAAACCTACTCAAGTCTCGAACTTATTATTTACAAGTTGTGAAAAAAATTATCGAAAGATCTCCCTTTGATCGATAACAATAATGATAATGGTTTTGCAGCTACTGAAGTCCCATAATATGTGCATGTTTCTGAAGAAGAAACCGGGAGAAATTTTCTAATTAGTGTCAATTTCGGCACATAGCAGAAACACTAGCTTATTGTTATCTTGAGATTTCATTGAGACATATTCACATGGACACTCAATGAAATGTTCAGTGTTGATATCACATCTTCTAGAATCAAATATACAACAAACAAGGATCTAAGCCCCTCGAGCAAAAAAATACGAGTTACCACGAGCATCCTGGCCCAACCTATTTAACATAAAGTGGTAAAGTTACTAAATGCTAACTTCATATGGGACTTGCAGTACCCTAATTTGCTTGTCAATATGGTAATTATGAAGAAAGTAATTGATAAATTGAGGATGTGTGTTGACTTTATCAATCCAAACACAACTTGCCCAAATGACAACCATATAGCTTTGAATATTGATACGTGGATTGATTTAATAGTAGGGCATTTGGACATGATTTCTCTAGATGTCTTCTCTAGGTATCATCAGATAATGATTAACTCTGTTGGTGTAGAAAAAAAACTGCCTTCATCACTAAAGATGGAACTATTTATTATATTGTAATGCCCTTTCGCTTAAAGAATGCTGGAGCAACCTATCAAAGGTTAATTGATGTAATTTTTATAAATAAAAAAAGAAAGGAATGTGAAAACCTTTATCATTGATCTTCTCATTAAAATTAAATCACTGTAGCAGCACATACAAGACCTCAAAAAATCTTTTTGTAGTTCTAAGGCATTTCAACCGTAAGCTCCATCCGTTGAATTGCACCTCTGGACCTTGCTCTAGAAAATTCCTTAGATGCTTGCTTATGTCCAAAGGAATAAAGCCAAATCCCAAAAAGATCCCAATCATATTGGATATGCCACCGCAAAACCTCAAAGGAGTGTAAGTTTTGACTAGACATAATGCAAGATTCAATAGATTCATCTCAAAATTTAGGAACTGTTGTTCTCCCTTTTTCAAATCAACCAAAAATCTAGCTGCTTTGCTTGCACTAAGGAATGTTATCAGCTCTTCATACAACTAAATAGCTTATTACCATTACTTCCTCTACTCCAAAGTCCCATGCTAGAAGAAGAGTAGTCCACGTACCCAAGAGTTGCTAAAAAAACCATGAATCTGGTATTTATTCGTGAAGAGGTTGAAAAATAATTTCATATCTTTTATGTGATAAAAATACTCAGGGAGTTTAATAAAAGTACAAGATAACAGATAAACTCACTCTGACAGTCATTGTATCAATGAGAAAATTACTTGCTTATTTTTAAGCTCACACAATGCTTGTTATTATTAATCATCCTGTGAATTATATGTTATTCAAACCCAACCATTGAGGAAGACTATTCAAGTGAGTAGTAGAATTTAGTGAATTTCATATGATCTACATACCTATAACATCAATAAAATATCATGTTTTTGCCAACTTCATAGCTGATTTTTTTGAAAGATCATTAGAAAGAAATCAACACATAAATGAATATGCTTTGGATACTTTAAATAGATTGAGCTTTAGGCTACATACAAAAGGGATTGTGCATGTTTTTGCACATCCATTTTGGATATATTTTGAGTCACTCAATCCAGCTTATCTTCACAGCCACAAATGATCAAGCGGAGTATGAGGCACTAGTTGATGACCTAAGGTTTGTACTAGTGATTTGAGTAACCCATCTCCTAGTCAAATTACACTCTCAGTTATTAGTAAATTAGACCAACATGTTAGGAATATGGTGATGACCAAATACTTGATAAAGGCTAAAATAAGGAGAAGCAAGCTTGAGCATTTCCAAATTGAATTTATCTTGCAAGAAGACAACTAATCTACTGACCTAACTACCTTATTGATGAGAAGCCTTCGGTAAATGGTCTCTCACTTTAGATTGATAAAAATTGAAGAAGACAAAGTTGTAAATGTATAGACATGGTAGCCCAATAGTTACATCGATACCATAGTGCAATATTTGTCTTTAAACATATTTCTGACATATACTAAGTATCGTTGTAAGTTCAGGATCATAGTTGTGCAATATTTGATCGTCAATTGAGAGATTTTAAAAGATCTGTCACTTTTACCTTTTTCGAGTGCATCAGAAAAAAGAGAAAATTGGGAACCTACAGGAAGTCCATCACAAAAGGGCAAAAGCTAATAATTTTCATATGGGGCTACTATTGTCTCACAGTTCAGAAAGATGTTGAAGAATTATCTAAGAAATACAAGCATTGCCAAAATTTTTCCCATGCGACTTCAACCATCACATAAATTGTAACCTATAAAAAATTGTTGGACTTTCGTGGTCTGGGGAATGAACCATCTAGAGCCTCTTCTCTTAGGAAAAGAACAAATAAAATAGACTACATCAATATTAACTATTTCTCCAAAGGAATTCAGGTCAAACCCTTAGCCAAAATTACAAGCGATGTTATTTGTAATTTTATATGGACTTGCATCATCTATAGGTATGATATACTGATAGTTATCATCATCAATAATGAAAAAAATTATTAGCTATAAGACAAAAGAGTTTTACAATAGCTAACGAATATGCTTAAAATTCATCTATGTGCTCTATCCAAAAATTAAAGGCCAGGTCCAAGTGGCTAACAAATTCATCATGAATTTACTCAAAAAGAAATTGGAAGGAGCTAAGAACAATTGGGTTGAAGTAATTTTACCAGTCTTATGGGCACTCCAAGAAACACCCACAATTTCCACTGGTCATACTCTCTTTTCCCTTGTTGACCGCATTTTTAGTCAACCCTTCTTCTCTTTAGTAAAGCTTGGGTTGACTTCACTTGAGCTCAATCTTGAATAAAGCTTGGATTATTAATTTCTCTCCTGAGGTTGTTGTAAAAATAAAAACTTCATTTTAAAAGTTGCATGAATCTTATTATCACTATAAAACGCCATGCAAACCAATCTGATAATCAATTGAAATAATTTTATGTAAAGCTGTGCACTTATGGTTCATATGCATAAAAATGGTCTTACATTAAAATTTTTCAACGAGTAATTATTTCTTAAAATGGACTTCACCGTTGTGTTTATATCATCAATATCTTTGAAATAATTCCTTTTGTGTTAAATTTTCACCACATTTGGGCACTTTTTAAACAAATGATAACTAGGAGAGAGAAAAAAGATAATTTGACCAAAACCTCTTCAAAAAAACTTCAAATTTACTATAATCTTCAATAAAAATTGTTTAAAATATTACAATACATCATTTAAGCAAATAAAGTCCAATACAAATTTTTTTTTGTCAAGTTTGATTACATGGGGCCCACTTTGACTAGTCATATCTCTCTATTGAGCTTGAATTAGCAAAAAAATAATAGGGTTATCATATTTCTTGAATTTTCCTTTATCAATTTGATCAAAGTCAACTTCCCAACCACCATAATGACATATCCAACCAACTTTGAACTTCAAATGGCCATAACTTTGGCTACACAATTTCGTATTTGAAATCAATTAGACCGTTGAAATCCTTATTTTGTCCTCTTAAGTTAGCATATTAATTTTAATTTTCTCATTTTTCTATGCCAATTTATGAAATTTGTGGCTTTCACTGTCCAAATTTAGCCTAAATTACAACTTTGTCATTTGATCTCCACCTTTGACTTAATTTTTTATCAAGCCACCTTAATTTTTTATCAAGCCACCCCTTTTTAACACATGAGCAATCCTCACACTCTTCTCCCATTTGTTAAAGTGGTCATATTGTGGATCCATCAATTTGTACTAAATCTTGGCCATTGAATTCAAATTATCAACTCCTTTCTTCATCTCAACCACTCCTTTCCCCCACAAACTCAAACTGCCCACTATTCTCTCCGCTAAACTAGTTGTAACTCACCAAGTCCCTCCAATTCATGCCACAACAACAAGGGAATTCCTCCCCTCTCCATTTCCCAAGAAAATTCTTCTCTTCCTCTTTCCTTTTCTAAATTTTTTTCTTATAATCATTTTAAGGCAAACCATAAACTTCAAGAAGGGATTCAAAGAGAAATTAAGATAAATAACTTAATCAATTGATTTCAGAGGAAAGGTACAATATTTTTCCATTAATTTAATAAGGTTTCTTATCAATTTTAAAGGTTTTTTTAACAATTCTCATTCTAAAGGCTTTAGGTAAAACTTCTATATGTATTCATACAAAATTCCATAAATATTCTCCATGCATTTGCCTAAACCAAAATATTCCATATATGTAAATATAATATTTTTTCTTTATTACTTTCTATCACATTATTTTGATGTTAATTTGTGTAATTACCCATGTTCTATGCAAATTTCATGGGGCTTTTCTATAAATTGAATCATTCCATGTATAAATGATGTTTTTACCATAAAATTATCATGTTGGTTTACTCAAAATATAAAAATAAGATATTCATCCATATTTTCAATAGAATTTCACAAGGTTTTTAGTGTTTTTGATTTAATATGTTAATTAATTGTTTCCATATGAAATTGAAAATGCTTTGTACCACTCATGCTAAAACTGAAATTTATGTATAGGTCTTTACTATTGTAGCTTCATATTCTCTTTTTGTTTATGTGTTTCAATCAAATGTTGCATGTTACCATTCCATTTATATTAAAACTAAAGATAAGTTGATTTAAAATATGAATTCCATTTATATTAAAACTAAAGATAAGTTGATTTGTGTGTGTGTGTGTGTGTGTGTGTTGTGTTTTAAATATGTATATATATAGATCTAAGTAACCTAAAAGAAGTATGAAGACAATCTAGGTAGGGATGTGGCTTCCTACACTATGATCTTCAGTTATGAAGTTTGGAAGGTTATTGTCTGACAGTGTTATAGAGATAATTTGCATGCTCTGTCTTATTTTACTGGCCTGTCTTTATTATTTTGTTGGCTTTGATTTTTTTTTTCCTTGTGGCAACATTTTCAGTTTCAACACAGCTTTTTGGAGAACAAACTATGACACAGTCACAATGAGTCTGGATTTTTTGGAGTGTATATAATTATGGTTGTCCCTTTAAGTTAATTGCCCATGTTTTCATGCCCTTCGTTTGGCTGCTGTCTAGAGTTAACCCTTACCGCCTCTCTTTGAATCCTATCATTACTGGGCTAACTGTGCATATGTTGTTGCTATGTATTGCCTTGTTTGTCCTTCTTTGCAAATTTAATTTAAATGTGTTGTATAAGGAGCTTTAGTTGTTTGTTGTCAGTCCAATGGAAAAGTTTATGGTTGCTGGATGGAGCCCTGTATTCACAGAAGTCTTTTTTTCATTGCTGATGGTTTCTGCTCTTACATACCTACAATGTTTGCTAGAATACTCAATTTTGTCATAGTTGGATTTCCTTACAGATCACTATTTCCCTTCATAATTTTTCATACTTAGGGTTTTATACTCTTTTGGTGATACCTTTTGGAGGATTTTTTTGAGTGTGTTGTATGCCTGGTGGTTGGGACCCTAGGGGCGAGTTTGTATTTTTTTTGTCTTTTTAGAGGGACCTAATAACCTAATTTTGTTCTTTTTATTTTTTATTTTAAGCAATAAAAATGCCTCTGGGGTTCCTAAAAAAAAATGTAACCTAAAAGAAGCCCTATGGATAATTCATGTCATGTTGTTTTATGTAATATTATTTCCCTTTCGTACAATGTAAATGTAAATGTAAAGTATGTGAGTGGATTATCTGTGATGAATTATGGAATTGCATGAAAGCGTATGATTGCATGTTTTCCTTACCTTTATGCATGTGAGATTGCTTGTTTTTTATAATCTCCTTTTATTAAACATGTTATGATTAATGGTGAATAAATAGGATAATGGTGAATGGTTTTGATTGATGGATGAGCGACACATGAAAAAATTAAGACCCTTAAGCGTTAAGTGAGAAGGGAGGGAGTCCGAGAAATAATTTTCAGTGATTTTAAATTGAAAAAATATTTTATATAAATAAATTAAATGTGCTAAAAATAAAATATTTTTAAAATATAAATATTCTCATCAAATAAATTATTTTCAAGTTTAATTAAAGGTACTCTAAAATATAAAACATTCAAAATTAAATCAAACCATGAAAAGATTTTATATTTTAATTAAATGAACTAAAAAATTTTTAATTTATAATTTTTAAGAGTTTTGAAAAAGGTCAAGGAGATATTATATAAAATGTCTTTAAAATTTTCAAGAAAAAAATATTTCTCTAAAAATTAATCTTTAAAGTTTTTCGGTATAAACATCTTATTCTTCTAATGAAATTCCATAACAAACTTATTTTAAAACTTAAGAGATTTCCTTTAAAAGAAAATTTTAAGGAAAACTATTTTTAAAATCAATCTCTGTTATTTGTTTAACAGTATCTTTTAAAAGTATTTTTCCTTAAAGATTTCTTTCTTAAGTGATCTTCTCTTTAAAAGATTTAGAAAACCGTCTCTCGGTTTATGCAGCACTTAAGCGAAGGGTCTTGGCACTTAGGGGCCAGTGCATAAAATTTTATTTTTTCAATTTAAGTGAATGCACTCCTAGCTTAAGTCAACCAACCCTACATAGTCTCATAACTCTTTAATAAATATTTTCTTCCCTTTCAATTCTCCTCTTACTCAAGTTTCACCAATCTTAACTAATTCAATTCAACACAAAATAACACAAAATTTCTCACAAATAAACACTTATATTCATTTATGAATGATTACAAACATTTTTAAATATATAAATTCTCAATCCAAATGGTCTCGGATGAGAAAATTCCTAAACACAATCACTAGACAATCATCACATTAAGAACATACTTAACACACTTAACATTAACAAACAAACACTGAACACTCAAACATTAAACAACGAACTTAATTCCATTCTCCAGTTGGTGGAACAAATCCTGGCCTATCATTAGTCTCTCCTTCAACATTTGGAATGTAAATATGAAAGAACGGACGATGGTTAATAACTCTGGTTGAATCTTCTTCAATCCAATTGTTCTTCAAATACATAGCCTTGTCCGCTTTTTCTATAAAACTGGTATGGCTAATCTGCATCTTAAGCTGTCAACCCATACGATCCAGATGTGTGTTAACCTCCATCACTTTTTCTTCAATTGAAGCCACGTCAGCCTCAATTTTAGTGATTTTTTCAACTATCCCTTAGATACTAACAGTGAGGAAACTGTTATATAACTCCTACGAACTCTGACTAAAAAAACTTATTTCACGTTTCCTCCTCCTTCTTTAAATCACTCTCCCAAGATGACATTTTTTTCAAAACTCTCACTTTTTCACTTAGAATTTAGAGTTAAATGGATATGAGGTGAGACTTCTCTTCATACCCTTCTATTTGTAGGCTCTAAACTCCTCCTATAACTCCTAGGCACTCCTAGGACTGTCTCCCACCTTAGAGCCAACTAAATCTCATTTAAAACTTCTAAAAACCAAAATTTTCACATGTTTTTTTTACTATCGCTTAAGAGTCGGATATTGACGCTTAAGTGTCGATGCTCAATTAGCACATGTCAACTTAACGTCAAAATACGCATTCTAACATGTCTAATTCATCTTTTAAAGTCTTAGAATAATCACTAAATCATTATATATTCAAAATACTACCAAAATTTTATAAATCACACACAACAACATTACAATAAAAACAAACACAGATAAATATGGGTTGCCTCCCACAGGCGCTTGGTTTAATGTTGTCAGCCCGACGTAACTAATACACAAAAATAATATATTATTTTAAGTACCCTTTTTTATGCATATTTTTGGTGATATTGCACTTTAAAGAAAGGTATTTTTGTGTTTTTTTTGCAGGTATACCATTTTTAGGCATTTGGAGCAAAATGGCAAAAGGAACAAAATTT